CACCTCCGGCCCCTGGCAGCTGCTCGGACAGCCACGGGGAGTCGTCGGGGGAGCCAGAGGAGCAGGACCTCTCGGGACCCCAGGCCCCTCGGGGCCCAGCCCAGGTGCCAGCTGAGGGGGTGCATTCGGGGGGGCGGGGGCTCCACACCCACCCTGGGTGCTCAGACCGCCCTTCCCCAGGCCGCAGCCAGTGGCACCGAGGAGAGTGCAGCCAAAGCCAAGCAGAGCCGCAGCGAGAAGAAAGCCCGGAAGGTGGGCTGGGGGCTGCTCCCCTGGGGGTGGGGGGCTGGTCAGACAACCCCACCCGGGACTGGGGTCCCTCCCACCACCTCCCACCCTGGGGTGGTGAATCCCATGGGGGTGGGCGTTGGGGTTCCTTCTTGAAACAGCCGGGCCCTGTCAGCCTGCGTCCAGTGAACGGCTCTCCCGACCCGGCTGAGCCTGCCACCGCCCCCAGGCCATGTCCAAGCTGGGCCTGAGGCAGGTGCAGGGCGTCACCCGCATCACCATCCACAAGTCCAAGAACATCCTCTTCGTCATCGCCAAGCCCGACGTGTTCAAGAGCCCGGCCTCCGACACCTACGTGGTCTTCGGGGAGGCCTATTGACGCTGTTTTGCTGCAGCAGACCCCAGGCACTTCAATGGACGAGGCATCGGGTGAGCCGTTTAAAGTCAGCCGGGGCTGGTTCGAAAATTTTAAAATGAGGACCAGCATTCACTCCGTTGTCAGACACGGTGAGGCAGCGAGCGCGGATATAAAGGAAGGTGACTTCAACGAGCTCATCGAGGAGCACTCTGAGGAACTGACAACGCAGGAGCTAAAGGAGCTACAGATGCAGCAGCACACGGAGGTTTGGCAGGAAATAGATGACAAGGAGGAGTATGAGGAGGAGGAGGAGGGCGAGGAGGAGGAGGAGGAGGTGAGGACGGGAGCAGGTGGGGGTGGGAGGGTGGCTCTGGCTGGGCAGGGGCAGCCCATTGCCTCCTGTGCCCCCAGGTGGACGAGGCGGGAAGGTGGGCTGGGGGCTGCTCCCCTGGGGGTGGGGGGCTGGTCAGACAACCCCACCCGGGACTGGGGTCCCTCCCACCACCTCCCACCCTGGGGTGGTGAATCCCATGGGGGTGGGCGTTGGGGTTCCTTCTTGAAACAGCCGGGCCCTGTCAGCCTGCGTCCAGTGAACGGCTCTCCCGACCCGGCTGAGCCTGCCACCGCCCCCAGGCCATGTCCAAGCTGGGCCTGAGGCAGGTGCAGGGCGTCACCCGCATCACCATCCACAAGTCCAAGAACATCCTCTTCGTCATCGCCAAGCCCGACGTGTTCAAGAGCCCGGCCTCCGACACC